GTATCATCTTCGTGGAGGGCGCCCTGCTGGTCTTGTATAAGTACTATACGTTACAGGCGCGCAAATAATTGCTCTAATTACACATTGTTACTGACGTGATTCATAGATGTAGCTTTTCCAAGTATTTATTATCCTAGTAAACATGTTAGTCGTCGTTTTAGTCAAGAGTAAGAAGCCACTGGCGTCCGACTCGCTTGGATGTTGAGAATGTAGAGGTGTATTGTTGCACCTCCTACGATTAGCGAGGTGTGTTGATGACGCTAGGCTTACGTTGGCAAGATCCAGAGCAGTGGCGGGGTCCGGAAGCGGGTGAATTTTTAGGGGAGCGGATATCATGCGAGCTTCAAGGGGACGTGCGATAGCTCGCGTCGAGGGGAGTGGCTTCGTCCGGCTGTTGAGGCTATATAGTGTTATGTCACTTGCGCTGAATTACTAGGGGGCGACCTGCCTCTTGTTGCCTCTCGCCCTGACATGCGTATTTGTCATACCGGTGTTTGCTAGCAAAAATGTGTGGATGCTTACTGGTGCTTTTCTATTCTTGGTTTATCTACTTTTGTGATCTTTTATGCCATGGTATCCTATTATTGATTAATGGAATTTTGATCATACGGATGATAGAACATAATAATAATGCTATAAATAATAACTTGTGGCAGCAGCTAATAGTGTGTCTGTCGTGCATCGTGGAACTGGCTGTGACGATTTTGCGCTCGCCACAAAGTATATGCCCTCATAGGCTCTAGTGATTAATCTTCAGTCATATAGAGGGACTGTATTGCAGCATGGGGGAGAGCACAACAAGTCTAGGTTCATCAGGTGCGAATCCGAACCATTGTGGCATCAGGTACCATGTAAAGGAACCAGTGTGTCCTAGTTCTATTTTTGAGAATGTACCAACGAGCAGGACGAAGAAGGTTCTCTGAATGTCGTTTTATGGCCGTCAATTAAGACGTTGATTGCTCGCCGCTTGCGTGTCCGCTCTTTACCAGCATAAACTAGTATAATCCTTTCATAATTTATCGCGCGAGTCGAATGTATTGCATTTCCCTCGTGCTTGCATGAAGCCTGTCGTGCACTCAATCCTCTGAGCGGTGATCGTTGCTTTCCCACACGTGCATCTTCAGGATCACTTGTTTAGACCTGTCCGGTGTTGTCTGCTTGTTCCTCGTCCTGAATTCATCTGCCTTTCCATGTCTATTGTTATCTGGCAAGATTGGAGGCTACGTATACTTATAGTCCATTGCCTGCATTAACATGGTATCAGCGAATTCCTCCTGTAAAAACCCAATTGTATCGATGATTGGAACGTTAGTGTGTCTCTGGCGATCTACAGCTAGAATCTCTACTGCATGCATGCCGGCCGCACTTACAACAACGCGCGACATACAAGGCTAGCAGTAGGCGAAACCACAATACCAAAGACAAGCCCTGCCACACAGAAGAAACGCTCGCACAGCACAAACGCGCACACACACACCACACACACAGCAAATACCGGCATCGCGGCGCCCACACACCACACACACAGATAACAGCGCGCGAAGCGCAGCGTCCTTGCGCACCACCACACACCACAACACACCCACACACCCACCTAACCACACGAGCGACACAACCAGTCACGCAATCCACCACACAACTACCACAGCCAGTAGGGGCATAACCGGCATACAAAGCACAGTACACCCTCCGAACGCCAGCACACAATCAACACACACCACATCACCCACCACCCACACCCACTAGTACACTACACGCACACTACACACAAACCCAGCACACACACACAGCACAAACAACACATGCACTTGATTCAACACACTCACACCACTCACACACACCCAACACCCCACACGACACCCACAGCGCACACTTCGGCGCCACAACCAACAAACGCCGACCACACACCACACACTAGCACAACACACACCCACACAGCACACCAACCCCACCACATATTCACACACCACACACCCCAACACGGGACACACGACAACGCAACGACACAGCACACACCACCACACACACACACCACACCACACACCACGCACTACTACAAACGCATTGCTTCCGGACTTGTTACTACCATTTTTTGCCGTCTCGTAGGCGACTTTTGACTCTCTATGCTTAACCTCAGTGAACGAACATGTGCGCGCTCGCCATTAAAGAAACAATGCACAAGTTATTCATGGTAAAGGACCCTGCCGGCCTAACATCGTTTCCATCCGCTTCATCGATTACCCATTCCGCCTGTCATCGTTTCATCGCTTCATGGGTCCGCTTATGTAAAAAATACGTGCTGACCGTGTTGCGGGGTGGCTCTTATGATGACGAGCCTTTGTGTCTTGGCACTCACCAATTGTGTTCGGCCTTCTAGATGGAGAACTTAGAAAATCTTAGGATGATGGGCGAGAGGTTTGGTGGCTCAGTACTCATTTGTTGTTTTTCTACTGTGCCGATTGAATGTGTTTGTGTTGTGACGTTAGCAGACGTGGTGTATCCAGGATTTATTTTTATTGAGGGGTGGGATTCGCGAGTTATATGCTTGATCCTATATGTTCGTTTGGATTTTCTACATTGCGGGCGGATATAGGCGCGCATAGGATGTGATTGCGTAATATATGTGCTCGCGATGCAAACTAGGTGGCTTTGTATTTGTGTCGTGTAAGGATTTGTACGGGGGCGGTCTAACGTCCCAAACTTTTCTTTTGTGGTTTTGCTACGGCTGAAGGTGGTCTCTTCCATTTTCGTCAAATTACTTTGTCAGAGTGGACAAGCCACGTGTTAGTTCTGTAATGAGCGAGCGTGTCTAAGTTATTGTTGTATGCGCAAATCGTATTGTCGTCAGCAATATCCAAAATCTGGGTGCACGAAGAAGATGTCATTTATGAAGATGTCCAATAGAATACCGTCCGAGGACTGATCCTAGCGGTACCCCTTTAGTCAGCGTGTTCTAGGTGCTTCTATATAGGGAACTTCCAACTTTAACACGCTGGTATAGCGGCTCTCTGGATAGTTGCTTAGGAGGTAAGTGGATGATTGGTTTGTCTAGACCATATGCATAAATTCTTGCTAGTAATAGTCTAATAGATCGTGGGGAATACTGTGAAATGCCCTCGGCACAGCAGAAACGGGCTGGAGCCAGTCTACGCCTAACACGCGCATATCTTGTAACAACCCACGTATCTCATATGACCCTGTTAGTCCTTGAATTGCGCGCTTAGCCGGGAGTCGGAGCACAGCCACTGGACCTCATACGTATATGTGTACCCACATACACTTCCCACCTATAATCTCTGCGCCATTCCTTCAGTGCCTATAATAATCGCGATCTTTACATGTATCAAAAGTAAGATAATACCCCATAGGTTATTATTAACATTTGCATGTGTGTAATCAAGCTCTTGATGTAATATATATATATTATATATATATATATATATATATATGTATATAGGCCTAAATATATGTACATCAGGAGTAGATAATAGGGAATCCCTATTATCTACTCCTGATGTACATATACATATATATGGTCTGATGATCGCGTAACGGTAAGCGTGAAACTCGGAGTAACAGCTCAAAGTGATGTCTTGTCTTTAATTTATCTACAGACTTCAACTTATTTCGCTCTGCAACTTAACGCATCGAGCACTCTACCGACAGTATAGACTCAAGCATCCAGACTTATATATATACATATATATATATATATGCGCATTAACTCACGCATACACAAGCACGCGCGCACGCGCGCACACACACACACACACACACACACACACACACACACACACACACACACACACGCGCGCGCGCGCGCGCACGCACGCACGCACGCACGCACGCGCGCATATATACATGCGTAATTAAACACACCAATAAACACAATCATCAGATATCAAAAAATGAATAAAACGTCAAAAGCAAAGGGCAAATGTCAAGGGCAAAGGGCAAAGGTCAAGGCCAAAGACTATGGTAAATTGTAGGACAAATGACGGAGCTCAAAAATGTACACTAGGTCTACTAATGACAGCAAAACATTACATAGGCCTAAGTATTTAATTTAATAGTTTAATGGAACAATGATCACATGATATGGATGATTACAATTATACATAATGCGTTTTCCGTGCACACGTAGTGATTAAGCCGCTAAACTACTATATATCTATCACGCACAAACACATCAGCGCTATATAGAGCGATGTTCTTCTTCCATGAAGGTGACATCGGAATTTCACCGAGGCAAATGGCGCCTCTTACGTGCGGCTTATATATACGACTCTGCTGACTATAAATACACACTCATAAAAACATATCTGAATTGTTATTCCGGCTCATAGCGATCTGTCGTGCACACAGGCACTTGAAGCGTATCAACTGTAAACACACGCGGCCGCTATTGCGCGTACACTAACACATAATAATAGAGTTCTTATACTCTATTATTATGTGTTAGTGTACGCGCAATGGCGGCCGCGTGTGTTTACAGTTGATACGCTTCAAGTGCCTGTGGTCGTGCACGTAGCAACGACCCGAGAGAAAATGGATAATGCTACACAAACCGGGTGGGAGTTATATCACCACAGATTTCATATACGATGACGTACGCACGACCAAGTGTATCGTATCGGCTATTGTAGAGCTTGCAATGTCAGTAGAGTTTTACTTGCGTCACGAGCTAGTACGTTGCTCATGTTGTGTAAGTAGATTTCTCCATGTAAACCGGTTGACGCGGATGTGACGTACACATAAGAATGACGGTCATAAAACACAATAGAAAGCCATGGTTCAGTGATATTTGACCTATATGAAAGAATAAAAGCTGCACGCTAGCGAACATCACGACACGGCAATGTGTAAATTTGCTATATATATATATATATATATATCAGGAGTTAATGAAGACAAACATCATCATCATCATTTGTCTTCATTAACTCCTGATATATATATATATAGTGAATCATATATAAATTTATCATGATATGTCTTCATTTGCGTGACACGTTGTAGTTTCGTGGGTCATTATTTAGATCCGATTTGTGCTTAATATCATCACACCATCCTCCTTAGGCACAATAACCACGTAAGCTACAATAATACTCTAGCTATTGGCGACCAGCTACTGACAACAATAAGAAATCCACATAATACGACCTAATTCATTTTGCCGGCTTAATTCTAGCCCTGATCTTTGTACCATATATATACATTGTAAAGACGAGGCAGTTTGTAGAGTTGCGGCAAGGGGACCGAAATCGGCTGTCTACATGGAAACTATAATGTCATCTTTTAATCTATTATACTGTTGATGTCACGCGCTGCTGGCGAATTTCGTAAATCGAATTGATGCATTAATCGTTCGATGGCTTGACGTTTATACCCAATACAGCATTAAAAACCAGACGTTGGGCTTAGAATGGCGTCTTTGGGCGGCTGTTGACCCACCGTTTGATAGCAGGTATATTGCTGATCCTGTCCGTGTGGGCTTTTAAAACAGGATAGCCTTCCACAGACGAAGCGAAGCCATTTTCGATAAGACAGCTGAGCGCGTTGTATGAAGTAATATCCGCCACGGAAAGCTGCGAGAACACAAAACAACACAACTGTGGCACATGCGTTATAAAACAATATTGTCTAACACTAATCAACTAACACGATTCATCTTTAACGCTGTTGTTGCGGCAGCATTGGCGAGATTGCAGCGGTAATTTTCCCGCCATGTTAAAAAATTTGAAGAAGGGCAACGCTATATATAATACGAATTAAACTACTACAGTTATGATAAACCATGCTAATATATAGCTGAAAGGCGTGACAAGCGCGTGGTCAAACTACAGAGACAAAAATTAATAGTTACGTTTTTCCCAACGAGAAACCCGTGCGTGCCATTTTCCCTCAGTTGAGAATCTAGCCATTTGAGAGTTTTTGCTACCATGTCTTCGGCTTTCTTCTGTAGTTCGGCCTGGACATGTAATATTAAACGCCAAATCAGCCTAATAATAGCTCTTCAGCACGATTCCAGGCGACAGTTCCTTGCTCCAGGAAGTGTCGTCATAAGACACAGCCCCCAGCTAGGTTAGTAATAATAACTAGAGCACTCAGGAGGAGGCGACAGACCATCCGCCCAAGGCAGCTCAATTCTCTATCTGTGAAAAATTTAATAATTATTAATTAGAATAATTAATTGGAAATCCGGATCACCACCAAAATGTAATACCATTCTAAGTTACCCCATTTCTAGACTATCCTGACAAATTAATTAATTAATTAACTTAATTGGATCCGGATCACCACCACAATCTGAATCAATTCTAAGTTAGCCGCATTTCTGACCTATCCTGAAGAAATTTATTACAATACCGTGCATAACTTTTTCGAGTGTTAGCAAGTTCCGGCTGTACACAAACAAAACAAACGCACCAACCACAACCAACCACAAACAACACGCCGGTGAAAACATAACCATCCTGCAACCCCTTGGCGAGGAATAATCCACTAATTAGATCGGCAACGCTGGAGAGATCGACCGATTGTCATTACGTGCGTACCTTTGTATCGCCATCCTTGTGAAAGAAAAGCTTGCCCGTTAGTTCATTCATATCTTTGATATTTTCTGTTGTCTCGTCGATCTTCCCTATCTCCCAGTTGCTATTGCCCATGAATCCTGCAGGCAGAAGTACGAGAAAGTTGCCCAATATTCACAAGTTACTGTATCGTAAGGTGCGTAACAAGTACATACGCGTACGCACACATGCGCGCACATACACAAACACACACACGGATCTTGGACTGCACACACAGCACGCCACGCACACGCGACACGCCACACAATGCACGACACACTACAAACACCACAACAACACCCCCCCCCACACACACACACACACAACCGCGCACGCATCGCCGCAAGCAATCCCGCACATACACTAGGCCAACCACACACACACTACGCGCACGCACGCAGCCGCAGTCGCAACGCACAGCACAATAACATATATATAATAGTATAGTATAAATAATCGATATTATACTATTACTATATATATCATATATCTGTTATGAACGTCAAACTTCCCCAACGAATATATAAAAAATATATATATTCGTTGGGAAAGTGTGGTTATCTACTGGCATGCGAGCTAAACGAAGAAGAATCCTTACCAAAACTCTTTACTTTAAGAAAAAACAAGGAATCCTTTACCAAACTCCCACCCCAGGTATCGACAGAGCGAGTTACTATTGCCCGATAACCCTTTCATCGACTTCGTTTATTAGGCAGGACATCCAAACGGCGAGCCTGGAGGAAAAAATTCGACCGAAATTATTACTTATAATGTCTATTTATTACATGAATTTATTTCTTATAATTAATTATATTATATTTAATGTCGATATTTTAACAAGTCAGCGCGGCCGTGTTACCGGATACCCAACATTTTCATATTTAAATTAATTCTTCACCCGGACATTACTCACCAAAAATCTTGGCTAACCATGCAATTATTGTCGCAGTGAAGAAAAAACGAAAATAGCCTCACATTTGACTTATATTGTATCATGCAAAGTACAATGATCTAATGATTATTGCGACACATGTGATTGACGTATGTACGTTCTGAAATACTTGTTCATCACATGAAAAAAGTTTTTGCCGCTGCAAGGAGAAATGAATCATCGTCACTCGTCGTGTGGATGATTTAACCCGATACGAGATAGCGAAAGGATTATGTTTAGCGAGCCAGACTGGTGAAGCGGCATCGAGTGTTTGTTTCTTAATCTGTTGCCGCACAATGCGGCCACTCTGCGTCACTTCGTTATTAGCGCATATCAGACGTGTTCTCGCCGAGGAAATTACGAGACAGCCATCTGCTGTCCCGATGGATGAGGCCTGAGTCGTTTATTAGGATATTATTATTTGTTATTATTATTATTATATATTATTATTATGGCTTTGTTTTTCGTGGTGGGGAACACTCTCATGAACGGGCTCATTTATTTAATTGAAATTACAGGATACCTTTGGTAATAGTTTTCTTCTTTTTAGTGTGTACGCGTGTGTGCGCTAAAACAATGAGCAGATACGCGAGTGTTGTTTTCTCGAAGATTCGGACTGTTGCCGGTATCGCGCGAGAGCGGGCGAAACTTGCACGATATTATGTGGTCATGCAGAGCGTACGCTTATTATTGTGTTAATGGATTTAATAGATAAAATTAGTAAATAGTAATTATTTTATAGTAATTGGATCGCTGGACGCATCATTGCGCGTGTTTTACAGAGGACTCCGTTGGCTGTTGTGAGCGGCTTGCTTGCTAAGCCTAGGAATTTATACGGCACGCTTATCTCAAGACTCATCGCTTCGTCTTCGTTGCCCCATTTAAAGTAGGCGCTCCTTTATTCAACAGCAGAGAAATCTTTTGAATAGAAGGCAAGCGAGGCACTATGCAGCAGGCATATATAGCATCCGCCTTTATATTTAAGCTGCGCGCGAGAGATGGGCTCTTAATTTATAAACACAGAGGATGGAGATGCGGGAAATGCGGGCAGGGGGAGAGATACTGGGGCTTTGGCGCGGTAAAGAAGGAGGAGGGGCGTGATTGAGGGACAGGAGAGCTAAGGGGTAAGTTACGCGCAGTGGTGCATAATGTAAGTTTAGGTGTGTTGACCCTACATTGACTAGGGCGATTCTCCGTAATTATAACACAGGCTCTACTGTATTAATAGGTTTTATTTAGGGAAATCTGATGCCTGAGATAGCTCTAACCCAGTTTTTAAATTGCTATCATCCCAAATATAATCCTCCGGTTGATGATATTGTGTTGATGCGCTAACACAATAACGTATGCCAGATGGTGTATATCTGGTTGGTGATATCGCATGGCGGAACGCTTACATGCAAGGTATTCCACCTATTTCTATATATTGATGTCAAATCTGATGGATGGTATACTATAATCTGGATGAGCGTAGGATACTCCGCTTTAATGTTTAAAGATGCATATCTTTTGCAAAATACGATGTATCACAGGGAGATATTGCGCCGCCGCGCGCACCGTGTTAGGCCGTGCAGATGGGCCATCTTGAGGCAAACTTTATAATACAGGCTATGCTGCTGGGGAAGAGGGGGTAGGGAGACTGAGTGTCCCGCCGGTGGCTCCAGCCCCAGTCAGCTCACTCCGACAATTAACCTTTCGCGACCAAATAATTCTTTTGTTTACGCTATTTTAAGAATGCTAAACAAGTTTAACGATCGGTTTATGGCCGATTGTATTACCATATAGGCATAGATATAGCGATTAAATAGGAGAAACGAAGACAGTGCCAGCTGCCTGCACTGGACAAAGTTATTAATAGCACTTATAGTGTTTGCACGGCGTTATATTTGTATGACGGGGGCCTAAGGCCACCTATATAGTATTGTAATAATAGTGTATGATGGGGGCCCAAGGCCACATATATAGTATTTGTATGACGGGGGCTTAAGGCCACCTATATAGTATTGTAATAATTGTGTATGATGGGGCCCAAGGCCACATATATAGTATTTGTATGACGGGGGCCCAAGGCCACCTATATAGTATTGTAATAATAGTGTATGATGGGGGCCCAAAGCCACATATATAGTATTTGTATGATGGGGGCCTAAGGCCACCTATATAGTATTGTAATAATAGAATAGTGTATAATGGGGGCCCAAGGCCACATATATAGTATTTGTATGACGGGGGCCTAATGCCACCTATATAGAATTGTAATAATAGAATAGTGTATGATGGGGGTCCAAGGCCACATATAGTATTTGTATGACGGGGGCCTAAGGCCACTTATATAGTATTGTAATAATAGTGTATGCTGGGGGCCCAAGGCCACATATATAGTATTTGTATGACGGGGGCCTAATGCCACCTATATAGAATTGTAATAATAGTGTATGATGGGGTGCCAAGGCCACATATATAGTATTTGTATGACGTCGGCCTAAGGCCACCTGTATAGTATTGTAATAATAGAATAGCGTATGAGGGCCCAAGCCCACATATATATAATATTGTGTATGAAGGAGGCCTAAGCTAGGCCTCCTATATAGTAGTGTGTGGTAAGCCTTGGTTGTAAGCTATACCGCCTCCAGCAAAGACAAGTATTCTGCAACACTTGCACAGTGTATTATTGCGCCAGCGAAGCACTAGGCCCCCGGTGGCTTAAGGCCACACT